CGTCATTCCAGAAAAATAAAATTAGAGTCTACCCCCGGAAATTTTTCACGCAAACTTGCACGACTCCGAAATTACTACTTAAAAACAAATGACTTCTCCCTAGTATTGCTACAACAGAAAATCCTTGCTCAACTTGACAGACTTCGGCATATCAGCCTTATGGACGTAGAAAGACGGGCGCTAAATAGCATGAATAAAAACCTAGAACTCACCAAGCTGATGAAATATAGAAACAAGAATACGGAAACCCCATCCATCCTGATTTCTGGTAATCAAATAACTAACAATCCAGCTAAAATAAGCAGGGATTTCAATAATTACTTTTGTTCTACTTTTAATACCGCTGCTGCGGCTCCCTCGCACATTATCCCTCTGCTTACTGATGACAAGATCTGCACAGTTGATTTTGAACTTCGGGATATAAATCGACTTATCACCTCTACGAAGTCATCATGGTATGCCGGACCTGACAAACTACCACCAACGCTTATAAAATACGGTGGATCTGACTTCCCTGTACTACATTTGAATCTTTTTTCTCTATCCATGAACACTGGTACCGTGCCATCACAGTGGAAGACGGCTGTAGTCATTCCTCGCTACAAGTCAGGCTCTGTGCATGAAATGAGCAACTACCGCCCAATAAGCCATACTTCTATCCTCTCTAAAATGATGGAGCGTCACATAAAGTCCAAAACTGTGGACTTCATGATGTCGCGAAATCTTATAAACACCTCACAACACGGCTTCCTAAGCACGCGATCCTGCATAACATGTCAGATAGACTTTCTCAGTCTTCTGACTACTTCGCTCGATGACGGTTCATCAGCGATAGTCATCTACCTAGATATGCACAAAGCATTTGATCGTGTCCCTCATAACCACCTCTTATCCAAACTAACTGCATATGGCATAGACAACCCTCTGCTTTCATGGTTTGACTCTTACCTAACTAATAGAACCCAGGTTGTTCAGATCGAGCATGAAACAAGCACGCCAAAGCCTGTCACCAGTGGTGTGATACAAGGTAGTGTTCTGGGACCCTTTTTATTCCTACTTTACGTAAATGATATTTTTGATGTCTTTGCCTCTGGCAAACCTTTCCTGTTTGCCGATGACATCAAAATTGTTTACACTTTTAATCCAACTGAGGTCAGTGATACGCTTAGCGAAATCCAGCATGACTTACGTACACTGGACTCATGGAGTTCCAAATGGATGATGACATTCTCTACTGATAAATGACACGTGGTATCCTACAGATGTGACATCACACCAGGTTCACTAACTATAGATGGTAAACCATTGTCTCACTGCCACACTATCCGTGACCTAGGGATCCACTACTCGAGCACCCTTAACTTTTCCGAACACGCAGGACACACCGCAGCTCAAGCCCGCCGAAGCATTGGGCTTTTGTTCAAAACATTTAACTTAAAAGAATCCATTAATACCATGTATAGAATAAAAACGCGCCCGCTGCTTGAATATGGCTCCATCACCTACTGTAATTCTAGAGTGAGTGATCGTATGGCATTGGAACGTGTTCAACGATCATTTACTAAGCGTCTTCTAGGCTATTCCACCACCCTATCTTACATGGATCGTTGCGTTGCCTTAAAACTTGATCCACTGTGGCTGCGAAGAATGAAACTTAACCTTTTCATCTTCTTTGACACAATTACCCAAAAAATACATTCTTCACGCCCATCGGTACAACGAGCAGAATTATCAAATTATCGCACCCGAAATAACGATCACAATAAAGTAAAAGTGAAAAGATCACGAACGAAACTGTCTGACAACTTTTTCCTAAATCGATACTCCATATTGTGGAACAGGCTTTCATCTGAGATACGTGCAATCCAGTCAGGGATGAAGTTCCGACACGTTATACATTCCTTTCTAAACGTCGAAACAGCGATCGGTATATTGCAACCTACCTTGACAAGTGAATCCCCATACGAAATAGGAGCAAAATGGATATAGTATCAATATCAGGGGATCTTTTTATTCTCCTGTTGCCCGATCTTACTGCCCTCCCCAAATTTATCAGTAGCAATAACGTGTTTTCTAAAGGCAAAAATATCCTGATTAACAATGAAGTTCACACTCACCAAGACGGAAATGTGCCCTAGAGTTCCTCTCGAGCAAATTATTTCGCACTTGTTCTGCAACGCTAATTATCTTCTACTTATCTCTTCCCCTGGCCCCCTCCCTTAGGTACGAGCTGCTGTGTTACGTGCTCAGCGAAATCAATGTTGATTTAATCCTTCTGCTTTTGGACTGAATTCATTTGATAACACCTTCCGAAAACCTACCATGATCTTCCACGCTTACGTTCACTCTGAACAAATCCCCTCATCGAAATCAGCTTCTCCTCTTACCGCACACAGCTGAACAGTTGGAACGACGGTTAACTTACTTTACTTTGCGTACAGTTTTCTCTCCCTCCCTGAAAAATACCATGCGTACATACAACATTTCTCAGTACCATACCAAATTATTTCGCATCACCAATTTTCCCATTTTGATCTCCGACAACTGCTGGAGCTATCTCACTATTTCCTCCGAAAATTCTTCTCCTTTTCTGTAAAAAGCATGTATATTCCTGAGGTTATCAGTTACCAGTGAAACTTGTACAATCTGAATCGAACAACGTCGGACGAAAATCTAGCATTTCACGTTACTGTACGTCCACCCGCTTTTATTTGCTTATTTCTCTCCTTCCAGTGTTGGCCAGGATTGGGCCGATCTCCCGAGGCTATGGATAAACGCTTCCGAAAAAATGCAGCACACTCATGCAGTATGAGTCATCACAAACTCACTGGCACATATTACAAGTGCTTGATCCGAATCAGCCAAATGATGGCTGTGCGATGGGGAGAGCTTAATATGAAACACAGGCCCCCACAGTACAGTGCTGGAATTGAATCAGCTAAAAGATAGCTGTATGATGGGGAGAGCTTTTCATTGAATACAAGCCCCCACAACACAATACTGGAAACAAATCAGATAAAAGATGGCTATACGATGGGGAGAGCTTAATATATATCACAGGCCCCCACATAACTGTATACATATAACGCCACAATAGCACATGGCCAGATGAGATGTGGAAGAGAAGTGTGGAAGCAGGTCTCCGGGAGACGGTTTCATGATGGGTCGTGTTACTCCGATTAAACTGACAGTTTATATCTACTTTTATTCTTACTCTCAACTTCTACTACTCTTACTCCTTTACTATTTTTAATTGATTTAGCATTGAATCATTCCTATGTGAACACAATAGATCACTGAATATCCCTCTCCACTACCCGACTTTGTTGTACCACATGATCAGGCTCGTAGTCTGTCTGTGTCTCGCATGTCGAGAAATATATCATTTATTTATTTATTTATTTAACCTGCTCACCCGTGGGGTAAATACTAATATCTGCGGTGTGATCACAGACTACTTTAAAACTGTACCCACTTCACCCAACTTAACGAAAAAAATCCTCTACACTTTGCCCCTATAGCGGTGTTTTACAAGGAGCGCTCCCTTACTGTTTTCAGTATACATCAAAGATCTCCCTATACCATCCAAGTTTATTGGATGGGAGTATGCAGATGATGTCGTTATAGGATGCATGTCTCTAACCAATGATACATCTACTCTTCGGAGTGATCTGGATGAGTTTGTGCTGTGGTCATCGACCCAGTCTCTCTAAATGCCGTGCTGTAAGATTTTCTTTTCTTCTAGTTGACTAACTGCAAGCTATTTCGAATGTCACTTCCTCACTGGAAGTGAGTGATCAACTCATAACCAAGACATTGATTGTCAAATATCTTGTTTTTTATCCAAAAGCCTATCATGCCGAAACATTTGATAAGGTCAGAAGGCTACCCCTTTTTATGTCAGCAGACTTAGAATGATTTCGGTACTTTGTGATTTGATTTTTATTGTTCCCCAGTAATTTTTCCTGATACTAATGAAAGATTAGATATTATTCTTACGCTCGTTAAAACTTATTGCTTGATCCAGTGGACTGTCTAGTGTGGCAATTGGTGATTTTCTTGACAGCAAGCATGTGTAGACGTTTGTAATAGGTTTTCCTCCAAAGTTCTAAACGACTCTTTTCATCCACTGCATAGGGCGCTGTCTAAAGCGCTATCTGTTTTCTCTACACGCTCCAAATTCAGACACGTTTTTCTCGTACGGCTTCTCACCGCATTCCCTCAAGGTACTTGTCACGATTAATTGTGGACTCAAGGAAACTCATTAACCTAATGCGTAGCTGTTTGCTTGAATGATACACAAACATCTTGCATTATACAATTTATTTTCTTTTGTCGATTAAGTCTCATGCATTTCTCCATGCGCATCGGTAGTGTAAAAAGCTGAAAATATATCTACCCAGGTGCATAGAAAGTCTATCTTGACTTCACTTGACATGTCCCAAACAGTTCAAGGTCAGTTGTGAGGATCAAGGGGAAATTTGGCATAAGTACCGAAAAAAGTGGCCCTCCGCACTCGAAATAAATAGGGTTGAATAGTAAAAATCCATTTTTCCCTAACCAGTTCAAATGCGACATTACCCGAAACACTGATAGTTCGGGTTGACTTCGCATGTGTGCATGTGTTCCGTGAGCCTGGCAATTAGGTTGCCACATGTTTCATTACCAGATGAAGTGACATCATCAGTGATTGGCCGCTTGCTTGGTTGCGAGGAAGGTTAACGATCAGTTTTCCCATTGGTGCAATGCCTTTAAGTAGTTGTCCAATTTATAAGCCGGACCAGATAATGCGAATGCTGTTGAGAGGAATAATTGTGAAACGGCCTTTTTAGTCATTTGGTCAGTGTTCTGAGAAGCTGTCGATAAGCACGCACAGCCCACAAAGACTGCTCATGGCACTAACAAGCTAGTGAGGATACCAAAATCTGAATACACCGCAGGTTTTAAGCAATATGATTCAACAGTCCACGAGATGAGAAAACGGTAGAACAACAAACAACCTGTGATGAAGCAGTAAACCGATTTCTTTTCGTTGCTCTTGGCCGATTTGCATGTGGACCACTTGACGAAGGTGCATCGGCTGTGCAATTTAATTGAATTGGCGCAGGTTGCAACACGCCCAAATCGAGATGGTTGTCAAGCGGATCAACCAGGTTGGTGGATTGGCGAAACTGTGGGAATTGGAAAGAGATGCCTGTTGAACATGGCGATATTTCCGCGATGAATTTTGAGATTTATAGCATTCAGAAAAATTCCAGCAATTTGTATACAAAGTCAATGCTATGGTATCCTAAGAATCTGTGACAAATTCTACTATCTAGACATTTACTGCACCTACGAATTAAATTTTCTCAGCCAATTCACCAATGTCACTCTCAAACAGCAGGCTTAAGCTAATCTGGAAAAGCACTAGATGCCGGCGTCTCGATCTTATGGGTCTCGTCAGTGGTGCGCTTCAAAGCGAACAACGGCCCGGTTCCGCCCACATAACTTCTGCATGCCAGCAGCTAGTGCTACTTCAGCATGTGTGACAGCCGCGGACTTGCATGATTGACAGCTGTCTATGAGATAGCCCGGCTCATCTTCCACTGCCATGCCAATTACGAACTATGCAGAGGACAATGGCTAGCCCCACGAGCTAGGACTTTTCGCATAGCGCCCCGGCACGGCAGGAGGACTTGAAAGCCATACGGTCAGATTTTTATATATAACTCATGAGTAGTGAGGATTTTAGTATAATTCAGCTAATTAGTTATTGCCAATCAGCTGGCTTAGACTAGTCTGGAAGAGCACCAGACGCCAAGGTTTCGATCTTCTGGGTCTCGTCAGTGGTGCGCCTCCCAACGGACTCCTGCCGGGTTCCGCCCTCATGACTTCTGGATGCCAGCAGCTAGTGCCAGTTGGCCATGGGTGACAGTCGCGGAACTGCGTGATTGACAGTTGACTACATTTCTTATTTCACTCAATACAGGCGGTTAGTTGTTCCATTATACTCCGGTCTTTCACTAAATAAGTATTAGCTAAGAAAACGTGTATTCATATGAGTACAAATTAATGTCGAAAGCTTGTGGCTAAGGAGAAATGGGCCAACTCATTGAATATTGGCAAAAGCCTGGATGTTGAGTTTGTGGACATTACTAAGGCTTTCGATAAGGTCGCACACGAACAGCTTCTTTTCAAACTCCGCGGAATCAACGTCGCTGAGAAGTTTCTTTTGTGGATTTCCGATTTCCTGTACGGTCGCTCCATGCAGGCGAAAGTGAACGAAACGTTTTCCGATCATGTACACATGACCAGCGGTGTCGCACAAGGCTCCGTTCTCGGCCCCAAACTTCTCAACATCTTCATTAACGATCCTACCGTCTGAGCTTTAATCTGATTGATTGATTTATGCGGATGATCTGAAGTGATGGACGAAGGTATCCACTCTAAAGAATGCTGATCGAGTACAAGAAACGCTTGATCTTCTACACAATTGGTCGATTCAGTGGCGTTTGTTCATTAATCAAGATAAGTGTTCCGTCCTGCCTATTGACGCTCCTGTACCATTCGGCGCTTACCACATAGGTGGTTTCTTGCTCAAAAATGTCACTTCAGATAGATCTTAGCGTAATTGTGTCCCCAGACTTAAGAGCCAATCAGGACACCGTGAAGAGGGTTGCCGCTGCCTACAGGATATTTCACCCCATCCGAAGTGCATTCTGCCACCTGATGCCGGAGCTCTTTAGACTCCTGTTCACCTCGCATGTGCGCCCGATTCTAGAATACGATCTTCTTTCTGCCTATCTGTTTAGAATATTTAAACGTGACATGATTAAAAAAAGTCCAACGGCGTAGATCGAATTCCGCCTCTGAGCTACGTGACCTGCCCCATCCCCTTCGGCTTCGGCATTTGAATGTGTTTTCTCTGAATTACCGTCGTGACCGCGGGGAATTGATTTTTACCCGACGTATCCTCAGGTGAGAGCTAGGATAGAGTTCCAAGATTTCCAACTCAATGTTAGGAGTTCGACTAGAGGCAACGGACAAGGCTCAAAGTGCGGTCCATTCTTGCTCTATCCACTCGCGTTGTGAAGGACTGGAACCGGTTACCGGGGCCCGTCGTTGATGCGCAGACGGAAGATTGTTTCAAACGACTAAGTTGATTCATATCAGTTGAGTATGCTGGGATCGCGTTGCTTCAGGTACGAGTGTGACGGTCCTCTCCGGAGTTTCCGCTGCGCAATGACGTGAGCATCCCAGCAATGACAGGGAAGCGATGGAGCTGACAAGGGATCTCCCTCCTGCTCTCTACTACCCAGTGAACCCAATATGAGACCCTTTTTTCCACAGAGGCATGGTCACAAAACAAGGAATATAGTGCACATATTTTCAACCTTACTAGTGTGCCGTCAACACAGAGGAGATCCTGAACAATAATGTAAACACTGGATCTCAAGCGTAAAGAATGAGTTATGACTTGATGGCTAAAAATCGAAAGACTTCATCAGAATAGTTGTCAAATTACCCTAAGAGAACAGGGTTTGGTCCGAAATGAACTCGGAAAATGTAGTCCTGCTTCTTCATTGGCGATTATGGGTTTAAGGCTTTCGCTGTGCGCTCTACATTTTTCAGTAGGTGCAGAGGTGTCATTGGTTACCATTGCTTTAATCTTTTTTCATTCCACGTCGTCGATTTTATCGAGACATGTCTTATTCATTTTGGTTGAATTGACAGATTAATTGAATACATTTCACCAACTCGCGCCTACGTCATGCTCAATATTGGGTGTTGTTGTTTCTGCGTGTGTACGTTGTGATTCAGGTTGTCAGCAAGTCGGATGTGGGATTACAACTGAATATATGCATCCCTTGTGTTTGAAATGTATGCCAGTAAAAAGGTGCTGTTCACTTGGAACTCAGCTGAGGTATTGCATTGCTTAAGGAACATAATTCTTTTCGTATCTCCCAAACTACTTCAGGGTCTATGTGAATCACATTGTGTCTGGCTCGAGTCAATTAGAATCAGTAGATTAGATCCCATGGAATCTCAACAAAAGCTACTTTTTAACTATTGAGTTCGTGCAGTTACGTGTGAAGTATGGGTGCCTAACAGGTGGCGCACGTGGTTGGCAGGGAAGTTATTTCGAGAGTACCACCATTCCTTCGAAAGAGAGCTAGATTTTTGTGAGCATGTGGTGTTGCCAAGATAGAGGCGTAGTGGTACTGACTGCTGGCCATGATGGTTAGATTTAACGTTAATCCGTATTTTTCGTCCATTCATGATCCTCAGAGGAAAGTGTCCAATAAATTACAGTAGCATAACACTTGCGAAGCGAATTCTTTACGGCAATTCACTCCAGGCAAATACAATTAAAAGACAAATAAACGTACAGGTAAGCGAACGCTAGGAATGTGATTGTTTGGACGAAGTCGATCAATAGTCCACTCGATACAATCAGACGTCGTGAGTCGCGCAAGCACGCGCGGAGACGCACACGTGTACAAAGCACAGACGCGTTGGCCAGAAGGTCTACAATGGTCACTCTCAGTCGTTACCGCGGTCCGACATTACGGCCACGACAACAGTATGGATTGTAGCAGTGTTCTCTGCTTGCAGAAATCCAGCTGAAGTATTCTGATTGCAATGGCTTCAGCGTTGGCCAATAAACGCTTTCTGATTCCTTTGGAGTTGCGCCTCGGTGCCGTGTAGACTACCTTGAATGGGTCATTAGTCCGAGTCTGATGGCTGGTACTAAGCATATGTTCGAAGATCGAGCTGAGTGACATTCTCAACCATACCATGTTGCAAAGAGGCAGGGCAGTGCTCCGCTATCCGCTTAGATAGACGCCTGGTCGTGGGCCCGAGGTACCCTGCACCACAGGTGCAGGTGAATTGATATAGAACAAAAGATTCGGAATGAGCCGGGACTCTATCTTTGAGGCGTTGGGTGATGAGCGGAAAAGTTTCAGCAAACATATGAACTTTAGCAGCCGGATATGTTTTGCTCATCGTCAGTGATATTCTCCTATTCAATAAGTCGAAAGCGATATCTTCTTTGAAAGGAGCTGAGAGGTCAACATCCTTCTTTCTTGCAGTCGGTATTGCGTTAATTTGATCAGAAACAGCGGAATGGTTTTGATAAATGTCGCAGGATACTCATTGCTCTGCAGCAGCAGTAGTACAACGACAATGGACCGGTCTAATGTACATAATTACTGCAGCCTAGCATCAGCGATGACAGCATGTGATAAGTTGTTGCAATCGCAGGAAGTAAGTGCCTACTTCTACAGTTCATTTCTGTTGGCCCACTAAGATTCGGTTACTCAGGTGTGATGGATCGATCGAGTTGCTTCAACTCGCGCAGCGAAATACTTAGTATAAATAAATGTGTAAATTACCCCAAAAGCGTTGTACGATCCCTAGGCGAGAGCGATCATGTGTCGCCTTGCAGCCGGGGAAAAATTCAAGACAGGTTCCACCGATGTCATATACGGAAGAGTGCATTTCTAGCTTTCGGAATAAATGCTCCAAGTCGACCAACAGAATTTAACTGACATGCGTATTCTATAGAGGTTACCACTATGGGTATTTCGTGTTCTCAGCATCTTGTTGTAGGCAAGTTCAATCTCTGCGTTGAAAAATTGCGCTTACGCATGCAACGCTAGTGATTTGCACGCACCTGAGAAGTGGTTACCAAGGTTACGGTACAAAATTCGCTCGAGGCGCAGCGGATCCGTTTGCGACGAATCACGTCCCCATGAGAATAACAGGAAACAGTAGAATGAGGTATGGCACAGATAGCGTACAAAGAAAAGGAAGGTAGAAGTGAAGCTAGTGAATTTAATCGGGATGGAATTTTGTAAAGTATAGGCAGGAAACGGAGTGCAGGATTGCCACTTACTGCGCGACTGCGCTGTCTGACACGGTCTCTAACCACCCGCTATGGACCATTCCGAAGACTTCATCCACTAAGACGACAGGCACCAGCCTGACCTAGTCTCTTAGACAATGTCTTTATGTCTTTATGACATGATCAACGTGTGGCTACCTGGCGGTTTCACCTAACGGGTTGCAAGCATGGTGTATAATACACGCCTGGCATACGGAGTACAAGAAATAGCCAACGTAAGAGGTTAAGTTTCAGTATAGACTCGAGTGAGACACCAGGAGGTTTTTGCCAATAACCCCC